TCTGGGCTCAGGTTGACAACTATTATCAATCCTATCCAATCTTAGAATGTTGAACTTCTGTCTACAACATGACAGCAACAACGACAACAAAGACGTGACAACCTGCATGGCTATGTAATTACAATTCATCCAGGTGATTGTATTATTTAATCATTAACATTAGTGCTGATTCATGATCACATAATTTGCTACATGTATCTTAATTGTAGATCTTACCATCTCTCTAATGTCTTTTTGCCTTTCTCTCTCTTTCCTCTTGGATATTCAATTAGCAAAACAAGCAGTCCTAAAACTCTGAATGCCAGTAAAAGAAGTATAACATCTTCTAGGGAGCTTACTTTGCATAAAAATCGCTATGAAGTTAAAAATTAAAAACAACTGAAGCCAATATAATTTATTTCTTAACTAAACACACAGTGCAATACAATGCAAACAATGCAAATGTTATGAAATGTTTGCAAATAAAAACATCATCAATGCCACACTGCATTATTTTTTACTTCAAACTTATTGTGAGTAACATTTACCTTTCTCTTTTGATTTCATAGATTACTTTTCTCAGTTTTTCATTTTCGGCTAGGTTTATTGAGTAGATAATAAACCTCTGTTCAAACATACCTCATTAAAACAGCTAATGATATAAATAATTATTATTATTATATAACTATAGTTCAGAAGGCCAATAACTAAATTCAACCAATCAGATTGCTCCACTGCCAAAGCAATATTTTCTCAGTATTGGACCATGCATTGTCCTGAATGACTCCACACTATGTCTCTGAAAGAACTTGCCTTCACCTTAAAAAGATTCCTTTTCTTTTTCTTCCAACTCTTTTTCCCTTCTGGTTTATTTAACATCAGATGTGAGTACATGCCTAGTTGAATGCCAATCAGAACTGCACACTTTGTCCAGTCTGTGATTGTGGCGTTTTTTTTAAAAAACATTTTCAGTCGTGTAATAAATCTCTTATTAACCAAGCTTGTTGCTTAGGACTGTACTGGGAAAATATTAACCCCCAGTCTTTTTTGTACAGACTTCGCTGCATTCGGCCCACACTGTCAAGACCTCGGGGCGATATTCTCTCAGTACGGCCCTAACGCTTGGCTAATAAGAGATATATAATCTATTAGCTTAATCCCAGGCTGATAAAAAGGTAATGAAATAAGCCAAAACCAAACTTGAATTTATGTGACATAAAACTACCTCGAGAATAAACATTAAATACGTAAATTGCACAAAATAGTTACCGGATTTACGTCAGAATGCAAATAAGCATTCCGTCAAAAATATTGCCCATGTCTCTAAATTATATAGACAGGCTTAAAAAGGATACAATGTGTAGAGAGCAAAATGCCATTTTTTGAACTGTGCAGCGGTTCCAAGAATTCCTCCCAACAATAACACTGAAAAGCAAAATAAAGTAAGCTTACAATTCAGTATATTAGCCTCCGGTTTTCCAATCAAACATGCACGCACAGTTAAGAAGTGGAAGTTCAGTCAAGCGAGAAACTTGCACGCAATCAACAACATGGTTGTTTCAAGAGACTTCTTGATATTGAATCATAAAATAGAGCTATTTTGCTAGATCCCATAATGACCCGACTACAAATCGAAAACAATTTCAAAATGAAATCACTTTGACAAGCAATGAAGTCTGTGATAAAGTCTGTCAACTCAAATTTGTTTCGTAATGTAATGAATGTTCATTACCTGATGGAGGGCTTTGACTAAAAGATGTAAAATTCCTAAGCTTAAGTAAGATCGTTACATACTCACCAACACTGGTGATGACACCTTGCTCGTTTGCCCACATTGCCCATTCTGTGTGGCCCATGTTGCAAGTGTTCCTTGATTCAAATTAACTTGCGATTATCCTGACAATGCTTACGAATTCCTTAACACACCTAGCACTTGTGAGTTCGAGACGCTGGATTTAAAACGTAAGAACACTCCACTTCAATCAGTTCTGTGGCAACCTCAAATCTGGCGACTCTTCTTAGTTCGAAATACTGTACTGTGTTGTGACTTTTCCGGCTTCAAGGAACTATGGACGTCACCCGGACGTCACACAAACTGCAAAGGCATCAATCACCTGAGCCCTTTCAGAAAGTCCAGCCCCCTCCCCATAGGCGTCATTGTTCCATTGTCCGAATAAGGTCAGGATAATGGCCCCGCTCTTCCTCGGCGAAACGGCGAAACGAAAACAACACAAATAAAACTTTGGCTGATTCTATCTAACAGGTCAAGAAATAAAAGCCCAGTTCAGTTTTAACATAAAATAAAAATACTCCCAATGCCACGGGTCTCTTTAAAACGAGGACCGGATGGCAGATGGCGGATGGCGGATGACGGATGGAAAAACGCGGATGATAAAAATGCGGATGGAAAAATGCGGATGGAAAAATGAGGATAAGGTAAGGTAAGGTAAATTTATTTAGAGTCGTAAACGTAGGGAGTGGCATGAGGGAAAATTTTCTGAGTCCTAGTTGTAAATAAACCCGGCATGAATTTAGGCCGGGAAAAGTCCAACTTTTTTATTCAAGCACAAAACAGATCAAAACATAGTACGCCGGCCGGGAAAAAAAAAAACCGGAAAAGTCTTGATCGCATAACAACAGCTAGACTTTCCTTTTTATCATCAGACTCCGTTCTTCTTCACTTCATGTCCTATATCGAAGCAAATTTCCTTTGCAGAAAAAAGGCATTGTCAAATTAAATGAAACACCACTACATGTACTGTAACCGATCGTGCTCCACTTCCACCGTACCCTATTTGAGGAGCTTGCAAGGAACATGGAGCGTTTGCATACCTACAACATACTGATGTGCAACACGTCTTCAAAGGCCGCGGTGACTCTAGCGCTATTTTCACCGCCAACCATTAGAGGCAACAACGACATCTTGCTATGATTGAATTCTGTTGACAAATATACCTAAAACATTGAAAATCGACTGTCGCCAAGACAACATCGTAAATTTCCTCTTATCAGGAATTTATCATCCGCACATTGACATTCGCAATTTTCCATCCTCATTTTTGCATTTGCATTTTTCCAACCTTATTTTGTCATCTGCATTTTATCATCCGCATTTTTCCATCTGCCGTCTGCATCCGCCATCCTCCGACCAATCCTCCGTTTGCCGCCATCCGGTCTTCGTTTCACAGAAGGTCACGCATGACAGCCGTCACGCATTTGATTTTCACGTGATTCTGAGCCAGCAATGAAGCANGACTCGTCCCGGGCGCCGACCGAGTGGTCCGCCATATTTGCATTCGGTGTATACTTAATAAGAAAGCTTGAGTGCTTGAGGTAGTATACAATCAAAAAGCGGCAGATGTTACGTTTAAGTAGTGTATTGCAACTTGTTGTGTATTAAGTAACAAAGTTAGCTAAAGTTGTAAATTGTAAAGGAACAGTAAAGTTACATTTACAAAGTTTGTACAAATTAACTAGTTTACTTTCGTTTTCTGGGTGTCTCTCGTAAGGGACCAACTTAATTTTGTAAACTTGGGGTCACCAACAGGATGCTCGGTCCCTTTCTTGGGTCGTCGCGCGTGCGCAGCCCCCTTTTGAAGCACCCTTTCTTTCCAGAAGAGTGTTTTTTTAAATAGGTTACTTGGTTACGTGAGGAAAGATGATCTAATAATGAGCAGGTTGCTCAGTGTTGGGGCCTGAAAAACTTCCCCTGATCCTAAAGGCTAGTCAGTGTTTACAAACATTATATTTCAAAATATCGTCGAAGTTGCGAACAAAATTAAAATACAAACCGCAAATGCAAAGGGATGGGTAAGGTACGTAAGTTAAGTTAAGGTAAGGTAAGGTAAGGTAAGGTGAGGTGAGGTGAGGTGAGGTGAGGTGAGGTAAGGTAGCTTTATTTAAGTCGTAAACGTAGGGAGTGGTTGCCCAATCTCCCGAGCCAGGGGCTCATGACAAAACCGCACGACTATTTACAGTAACATAACGACTGTGTAAAGAGCCCTGTCGTTCGTCTCACCATCGACGTACGCTTCACTCGCTCGCCTTTTTACAAATTGAGGGGAAGAAAGGAGATGGCAGCGACCAGACTACCTGGAAGCCTATATATTTTCCAGGAGATTTTCTTTACTGTGCGGGACGTGAGTAGCTCGAGGATTTAATAAGACACTAAATTTTATGATTGAATTACTACTATTAGCTGCAGTTCCTAAATTCAGTAGATTAAGCTTAATCTGAGTGTTGTCTCAGCGTCTGTCATATCCTAGGCTTACATTCAGGAAAAAGTTGCAAGCGATTAGCAAACAACGCCTATCATCCAGATTGTTTAGTCGTGACTAGTAAGCTCGAAATCGCACTAAAGTGAAGAAAATAGAAAGAACCAGCAATCCGGAAGACAACATTCTCCATCCAGCGAGTGGGCTCAGCCGGTTAGACAAGGCATTGCTGGAGAAGGCGCCTTTAGTCATCACGCCGTAGGCTAAAACCAAATCTTCCTCTTCATACGAGTCGGACTCAACCACGACAAAGGAGGTGAGTGGTGTAACAAAGTTATACTGAAGTGACATCTGCAGTGCTTCGGATCTCAGTCGAGCTTGTTCCTTCGGATCGTCCGTTACCAATAGTTCGACTAACAGTTGCTTAATTTTCATGTAAGCCCAGAGCCTCTCGGTGAAATCCTCAATCAGCACTTTATTAGAAGGAATGGTCAGGTTCTGAAGAGTGCGCGACACTGTGTACGTGACATCAGGATTATTGCTGGAAATACCGCGAACATTAACAGCCATCAACCTTGAGCTAACGCCTTCCTTGATCTTTCCACTCACGACAAGCTCCGATCCCTCATAGTACTGAGAAAACTCAGAGGCAGTAACTCTTGCGTCATCCACTATATCTTTGGGATAATCGAATCTAACTCGCAGTAACAGTGGCGTGCTGATCTCGTCAAAGAATCCCTCCAGTTGACTTTTAGCGTCTTTATCTGGGTAGATCCTACGAGAGTTTCCTCCGTTTTCGACTGACAGAGCTGTTAGGAAATCAAAATTCATATGGAAACCGAATCCCAAGGCGAAGATGGAGGCTTTTATCTTGTTCTCGTTATAAACGTTAGTGCGAATCGTTTTAGTGTTCGTCACTCCTGCTGTTGGATCACCGTCTGTCAAAAACAGTACCACTGGAAAATTGCCAGCAGTTGGAGAGTTTGGCTGGTTAGCTGTGTTTGTAAGGAGTTTAAGGGCCAGAAGAAGTGCGCTGTTGATGTTGGTTCCGCCTCCCGCTTTTACGCGCTCGTCGACGAACGCTTTCCCTTCCTTGATATTCTCGCTAGTTGCCGGTGACGCAGAACTCCTCCACTGTTCTGTGTCGCCATTAAACAGAACAATGTTAAAAGAATCACCTGCACGAAGCTGGCTCAGGATGGCGAACATTGCTTGGCGGGTTTGTACAATCTTCTGTCCACTCATTGAACCGCTGATGTCAATGACAAAGACGACGTTTTTTGCTATTGGGTTAAGGCCACTCGGTGAAAAATATTGCACGAAGTAGGAACCAAGTACCTGGATAATGCCTGCATCATTTCCGTGAGCCACATCATATCTGCCAATGATATGAAGAGAAACAATTCGAATTTCGTTCGTTTCTTTTCGCAATGGGTTTTCCAGTAATCTACATGGAATCTACACCTACAGAGGAAAACAAGCAACCAAGGGTGCGTGGAGAGACGGAGTGAGGAAGGAAGGAAGGAAGGAAGCCGAAGAAGTATGGGCGGATTGATGGAAGCAGGTGGTAAGAGAGAAAACAAGCGATGGAGGAAACGCGGATGGAGGCCATGGAAGAAAGAAAAAACAGGCATTCTTAAATATTCATGGGGGAAAAAAGTTCCATCGTCCTCTGCCGTGATTCTCAATGCGGTTCAAATGGTAAATATCGTCCCTACTCCTTGTCAGTACAGATCAGAGGGAAGCGGTGTCCCTACAATAAGCCTGATTAGTAAGAGAGTAATTCACGAGTTTATGATTGTAGCTACCGTGAGAAACTTTGCCCGGTCCAATACACTCTTTCTTTTTATAAGAATATGTTTTATGTATAAGAATATCCAGATTGAAATTTGCGAAATTTGAAGAATTTTGTTAGAATAATTTTGTGTCAATGAAAATTTGTAAATACGATTAATCCCATTATGTTTTTAACTAAACCGTATAAAATTCTTCCTTTCTCTAAATGGCATAACTGGCCAAAAAGCAACAAAAACAGCACTAGCCGTATGTTCGGTGCTAACAATTTTTCTGTCAGACTTAAACGCCTGCAGGCTGGCTCCAAAATTACTTCACAACGATCGAGACACTAGTCTCCTCCGCAGCCGTTTTATGGGATGTCACGCAACGCTCCCCACGTTTCTTTGGGGCGAGCGTTGCGTGACATCCCAAAAAACGGCTGCGGAGGAGACTATCGAGACACCAGATACATTCGAAAACAGATCTGTCATACGCTAAGAATATTCACATGAATATTTTCAGCCTAAAATCGGCAGAAAAATACCAACATTCAGCCCCGGCCGGAAAAACAACATTCTTACAAACAAAGAGTGTACTTAGAAAATATTGGACCGGCAAAAATAACGCACGCTTGTTGGCTGATTTTCGTTGCTGGCCCTCTAAGCTGTCTTAGCCGTGTAAGCTACCATAACAACGAGTCCTCAGAGAAAATACCGTTGTACAATGCTACATGGCTGCACTATTTCAAAACATTTTTGTCTCTCTTGTTCCTTACTTCGAACATGAAAAAGCGTGATCTGATTTGTATTATACTTTTCTATACCTAAGGATCGCGCGATCTGGCGCGATCTAATAATTTTCTGGATGTCGTGACGCGAATGCCAAAACTTGAAAAATATGTTTATCAAGTAACGATCGACATTTTATGCCCTAAAAAATTACAATAGGTATTTCAATTTCAAGCGTTCTCGCTCCCCATTCTAAAATAGGATCGTTTGATTTCAGAATCTGAATAGTTTAACTGAGCCCTGATCATGATTCTCAAGCCTAATTCGTACCTCTGCACAACCCACAATTTTGTGATTGCGTGATTTCAGAAGTCGGGAAGGAGACGTTCAATCAATCACGTAGTAAAGAACTTGAAAAATATAACGTAAAACGACAAGGGATGTTACCTTATAATGAAATCTCCGTGTATTCCAGTTGGCCCCTGCTCGTCTTCACTTGGATTGTACTCTATATGAACCGAGGTTGGTGATACGTTAGTTACAGCTGCCAGTGGATTCCCCTTCACGACTGCGTCGCTCGGATTCTCCCGAATTTTCATCACATCCACATAACTAAGGGCTTGAGGTTCTTCGATATCCACGACAACCTTAAGTACGGGAACTATCTGCTTAGGTCGAACACTGATGGCTTGTTCGTAATAACCTTTTCGCCTCACCAAAAGCTGCTGATAGTTCAAACGAAATTCAGCGCTGCTGTTTGGTGCCACACTGATCGCGATGTTAAACACATCCATACCTCGTAAAGCTTGTTCTGATCCAGTGGAGCTCACGAGACCCGTATTCCTGCTCTCGTTCTTCGCTTTCTCATACTCATTTTTTGCAGCGTTCTTCTCCTTTACCTTCCCGATGTAGTGTTTTCCGTTCACCACCATCGAGAAGTTCGAGATGAAAGCAGTTTCCGGAATCTGAACGACGAACTTGGCCTCTTGATTTTGGGGGGATTTGTTTTCCAACGTACTCGTAACCAAAGTGTTGGCAAAGCGTGAAGATATTTGAGAAGTTACATTCAAACTCAAAGGAGTCAACACTGCAGCGCTGTTCACATCCCTGGGATGGCGACTCAAGCTGAGATCGACATCAGCCGTGAATGTTGTGGTGCTTGCATTCTCGGCGAGGATCAGAAGAAAAGCGAGGCTGTACAAGTACGACTGCATCTTCTCAATCTTCGCAGCTTGGCCTGGATCATACAGTAAAGAAATAGAACTCACACAGAATTCTGGAAAACACCCAAATTAAACCAAAACAACCGCTTCGTTAAGCATAGACCACTAGTTCCTGTTGAAGCTCGAGGGTATGTTAAATATAAATTATGTAAATAGCAGCTGCGGTTTTGTAGATGCTTTCTGCTTGAACGCTCAACGAATCGTGTTACGCATAATTCGAAAGGCATTTACTATTCCGTGTTACGATAACACAACGACCATTAAATAATTCCGAATATCAGTGTGACAAGGTCACTTTAGTTCATTTTAAGTGCTAATTTTCAGACTATTTTTATTAGTGTTATGTTATTATTTTTCTTACTATTTGGGTTATTTTCCTACATTAGTTTGGTTTCCTTACACACGTTATTTTGGTGTGTGTTGGTGATTCATTCCCACACACTTCTCTTAGCTAAATCCTGTTGTGTAGGAGAAGTTACCTCCTGGTTCCCTTAGGTAAATCCGGGTAACCCGAAAACACTGACACAGGTCCGCGGACCCCCACTACGGACCGGGTCCGCGGACTACCTATGGACCGGTCCACGGACTCCCCCCTACGGACCCCCTCTACGGACCACCTCCCAAAATATAATAGAAATAATAAATAAATATTTCAGTTACGGGTTGTCTAATAGATTACTCGTGACGGCGAAATTTCGAATGTTACATTGTGCAAATGTAACAGACCCGGATTCAGGCTCGGGTGCAATTTAAATCATTACACATTGCCTGATTTCATACCGTGGGAGCCTGGCACAAGTTATCGGTTTTGCCGGACGGAANACACCCCATCCAGGGGTGAGTAGCAATTCTCTTAGTTATTTCATTTTACATAAATCAAGATACGCTAAGGCGATGTGGGCGCTTTGATCGGAGCTCTGACTTAATTTTTATGTGATCAGTGCGTAATTTTCCCTTATAAAGTCAATCGAGATAAATTGCAAGACGAAAAAATTATCTACTCGGTTATCATCGTCGTCAACAGTCCTTGCCTTGCCATGGGACCATTAATAAGGCTTCTTGGACCCAGCAGTAAAGCGAATCGAAATCAATCACTGAACGAAAGAAATCCCAATACGATTATATATTTGCTTTGTGGCACTTGATTCTGACCTCTTTGGAACGATTGGAGGATACGCTACGATCTACTATAGGTTACAACTACTGAATTTGTTACGTTTCCAGTTTTTAACTCGACAGAGGAACTCCTACTACAGCCAATGTAAATGCTGACTTGACGGAGATCTGCGAATGGTGTTCTAAAGATTCATCATTCATAAATCCTGACAAGACAAAGCTACTTGTTGTCGGCCTACCACAACTTTTAAGTAGCTAGTTACCTTTGATTTTCATTTCTATGCTAGGTCAAACTACTTTTTCTAAGGACCTAAGAATATATCTAGATCAGCGTCTTTCATGATACTCATATTACTAAAACAGCCTCTATTGTTTTAATCAGTTAGTTCAGACAATCACTTTTATTGCTCATAAAAAAGATTTTGTATTCACTAAGCTCTTTTACTATATGTCTAGCTCCGTGAGCGGGTAAGATGAATCAAATCTTGCCCTGTGATTGGCTACCCGAGCGGGCAAGATGGAGCTATCTTGCCCGTTCGGGACTGCCCGCCGTGTCCCGCAAGAAAAATTTCCCGGTCTCGCTCCATAAACTCGCAAAAAAAGAACTTGGCCAATATCCAGCCATCTTGACCAAACAGGCTTGGTCAATAACCCATATTTATTGTTCTTTCGTATGGGCCAACATCTTCAAAGCTGACACACATAAGCTTCAATTAGTGCAAAACTTTGTAGCAAGGATTATTCCTAAGACTTAGAAAATATGACCATGTAAGTGTGGGCCTGAAGACACTTGGATGGCTCAGTGTTGAAGATAGATTAGAGATCCATGACGCTGTTATGGTTCATAAATGTCACGTAACAACTTAGCACCTAAATACCTCTGTGATCAGTTTCAAAAGAGATCGGTAGTAAGCACTAGAGTGATGCCATCTGTAGATAATCTTAATATACCATTTTGTCACTTAGCAACTGGTCAACGTCGATTTGCGTAGCAGGTGTTAAAATTTGGAACGGTCAGAGCAGTGACTTGAGGATTAGCTTGGATGCATTTAAAAGCAGCAGTTTAAGGGAGTTAGCTAATACAGGATCATAATCTCTTGGCTAATGTAAGTTAATTGATTAATTTATTTCTCTTTTTAAATTATTTAAATTTAATCTAACGTAAAGATTTGAAATAATTTGTAACAGTTTATAACATTGGTGCTGAAAAGGCCATTTCAGGAAGCAACAGTGGTATGTATGTAAATATATGTATGACAACAAGGAAAAAACTATTCTTAACTTCCTGCTGATTTTTGGCCGGACGGTTTCTTCTTAATACGCTTGATAACGATTTTTTTTTCTAGCTTTGCTTAGTGAATCAGAGCTTAACCATTATTAACTTGGTGTATAATGATCTGAATAAAATCAGTAATTTCTTATTTGAAGGGAAGAATGATCAAACTCCAATTTCCCCTTCGAGTATGTATGCAATGTCTTGAACACAGGTTGAAAGAATAGAGAAGTTTATCTACTTGAGGATACTTTCTTGATGTACTACCAACTTCTCAAAACTTGCATTATGATAAAATGTGTCAATCAGTGAGGAGAATTAACATATTGAGCTTCCAGTCGAGTTTTGAGTCTTGCTACTATAAAAGTAGCAATAACAAATTTTCACATAGTTAATTGATTTAATTTCTAAGTATGGTTAACGTTTAATTCCTCCATACGATATACAAATTTTCAACCAGACGAGTAATTAGAATAAGAAAACTCATGAACAAGAGGGGATACTCGTGATGTACCGCCATATTAAAGCGCACTACACGATTGGCTTAAAAAAAATCGCGCCACTTTTTCATCCAATCAGAAGTAAAACGAAAACCAATCTTAATTGGCTAGCACACGTTTTCCCGCGCTTCGCTCCACTCCATGGATTTACTTCAAGTTTTGATTGGTTTACTGGAACGTCTGTGCCCTTTGTGATTGGCTGGAGTCTTTATTTTGGTTTGGCTTTGACGACTGAAGAAAACTGCATGCTCTAGTTACTGAACTGATATTATAGAATATGTTTTCTTTTCAAGGGACATTAAAATTTGTTCAAATCCAAACGAATTTAGGAGGAAAGTTGTTCTTAAATTTATGAACAAGAAGGAAATGATACTAGCAGCAGCATTAACTTATTCGTGTGATTAAAACTTTGGCTTATTTTATTTGCCACATATAAAAATGTTGATCACGACTGATTGAATCAAGAACCGTTCCATTTGGCGCATAGTAGACCACGTTCGAGATATTGATATTCTAACATGGCTCCGATGCTTTCAGGACACAATTGCAAATTTGTTAAGTTTCTCTTTGGTCCGTCAATAACCCTTATGCATGATGAGATCAGACCAGCAAATTTCACCACCAAGCCTCGCTTTTAAAATGCAAATTACAAATTTTATCGTGGACAAATTCCCAAAGCAGCAAATATGAAAAGAATACCCTCGAGGAAACAACACGAAGGTACCTGAGGTTTGAGAAAATTTCTCGCCAATGGGGCTTGGTGGTAAATTTTTGAGTGTGTGACGTAATCATGCATAAAGAGACTTGGATACAAAGACTAAAACACCACCAAATAGAGAAGTTTGTCCTAAAAGCTTCGGAGTCATGTTAGAATATTGATATATCGAACTTGACCTATTGTGCGATCTCGTAAGGTCGGCAAAAACAAAGGGGACTGGTTCCTGGGAGTGGCCCCTGCCATGAGCCCTTGAAGAGTTTCCAAGATGGGCCTGGTTGACTTTGTTGTCTGGTGTGCAAAACCTTTTACGTTGCCGAGCAACTTTAAGAAATAGAAAACATGTAAAGCGTTTGTAGCTAGGCTACTCACTATCTATTCTGTTGTAGATTGTGAGTAGCCCAGCAGTGTGCGCTTGTTAACGAAATGGCGGCCGCTTCTTTGCGCTTTTGGGAAGAGGTGTTAGATAAAGTTTTAAACGACTAATAGATTTATGCCAAGACAATTAGATTATTAGCTCTCAATTTCTATGCGTAATAGTTGCTGCGCCCTCGTCAACAATCACGCGATAGAAATCTCGAGCTCAGAATCAAATTGTTAAATAGATACACGAGTGGAAGTTTAAGAAAACGAGCGGTGATGCTGTGGGAACACGAGCCGACAGCTTTTTCAACGCGAGTATTTTCTTTGGGTTATCTTCTAATGAGTAGATGTTACTATTATCTTTATTATTGCCTTTTGCAATAATGGTCTCAACCTACAACGATGGCGAACAAAAATTGTCAATTTTCCAAGAGTATAAAAGCGCGCTCTTAGCTTTTCGATGTAAGATAGTTGTAGACCAGTTTGTGGTTTTCACCCTTTTTAAAGAAGCGGTGACTGAAACATGGCTTAGAATATACTGAGTGCTTCCGGAATGGATTCTATGCGAAACAATGGTCTTAAATTTGATTTATGATAACAATTCGCACTCTTTATACTTCACCTGGTGACAGAGTTTACCGATCAAATTTGAGCAGGTTGCAAATCTGCCAAAAACAAATTGCAATCAATTTTTTCGGCGACACTTGAACTTCTAGCAAACATTTTGCTCGGAAATAAACACACACACACACACACACACACACAAACAAATTAGAACCCTGTTGAAGTCGTTCAGAGTTTTGATCATCTACAACCCTGGAAAAATGATTTTTCATAGATCAGTCTTAAGATGGGGTTGAATTTCACCATCCACTTAACGAGGGTAGGTTTTGAATGACGTTTAGAGGAGTGCTTCTACTTCTAAAATATTCAACCAAGCGTAGTAACACTGTACTAAATTTAACCTCTTCTCGGTCGTAAACAAGGAGCAACGACCTCCAGTGACAATTGAGCGTGTAGTGCATGGCTGTATTCCTTATTTTTAGCCATGAATATTTGCTTGTCATGATGAATGGTTAATTCGAGATATTTGACAACGAAAAGCAACAACAAACTAGAGCAACTGTCAACCGGGTGAAATGCATGACTGATGCAACGCCGTGCCAAATATTGGCTTTAAAATTTTTTCGTTCATCTTTGTAATGACTCGGGAATATACCGACCATTGGACGAATTTATTTAACCGGTGCCGAAATCAGGATGCATTTGTTGCCGAAAATTTGCGGCAACCGTTTCGACGAGGCTGACAAATGCACACTTGTCGTGTGAGTTAAACGCGAGCCTCAGATTCGACAAAGAAGAGAGTAAAAATACAGTTGTTCAACAGTTGTGTGCAGTTTTGGAGCACACGTGTCCACTGACAATTTCTGTACGATAAATAACTTCAGATATTGTAACATCGTGAAGAAGCGTGTGAAACCGTTGTTTTTAATCGAAACTTTGTTTTGAGGCAGAACCGTACTGAAACATTTGTTTCGAAGGGAGCTGAATTGAAACGTATTAGTAACTCGGCGACCTTCACTGCCGGTTTTCACAGTTCGTCCAATGTTCCTACTTAGCGTTAAGAGGTTTCACTCGAGTTTTATGGAATTCTGTTGTTATCTATGTCGCCCTTATATTTATTTTCCGGCGATAATATTCTTATCTCGATATTTTCAGTTGATAAATAAAACGAGATATGTTGAAAGATGGATGCGTGTCAAAACAGAACTGCCGTAGATTTTGATGTTATTACAGCTGGAGAAGTTCCGAGATTCTAGGGCCGGCGAAAGAATGGGACTGTGATTTAATTACTCCTCTCCTCCGACGGATGTCTAGTTCTGTGATTTATTTATCGGTAGAGCAGCTTCATCGGCTCACTGAGATTCTATCAGAGCTCGCTCGCTTACATCGTCCCCGGCGGAGGGTCTTACGTGGAATGCTGTTAAATCCTGGCAGTTTATCACCGATCATCAATCAAAGGCTTAAAGTTCTAACGAGTTTTGTCTTTTAGCGGAATCCTGACAATTGTTTTTAGACAATATTTCTTCGCGTTAACAAACGAGTGACAAAAAGGGAGTAAAATATTCTTTATTGTCGATTAGCAAATTTATGCAAAGTCTTCCAGACACTGTCGTTTTTAAGCATTTTCACCAATAAAAGTTGTGCGAAGACGATGAGTTCAAGGGCAAAGAAAAAAATCGCGAATGTTGTTAGAATCTGCAACTTTTACCTAATTCAAAGCAGATTCTGAATCATTGAATGTTTCAGTTTCGGAGGTCCAGTCTTTCTGGAGTCCGAAACACAAAACATCTTTTGACAAATTGATACCTAATTTGCTATTCACTCAGGCTTTCAAAACGTGGCCTTGCCAAAAATACATTCCCTTGTTCAACGTGATTGAGGATGTATAGCGATTTTCCGGCCTCCCCCTCTCCCCAACTACCTACCTTGGTTTGCCTTGAAGAGAACGCCTTGCGTTGAAGACGATAATAAGGCACTCGATTTACCAAGCGAGATAACATTTAGGTTTAACGCCCATAACGACATGTTAGTTAGCAGGCATAGGTCTGAGCACTATGGCTTTTCCGTCTTGCTCAACGAGCCGTGTTTTGTCTTAGGAATATTCAAATGAACTTAGCTGATAGGAGCTTTCATTGGTTATCAGTGGCAAAACAGCCAGGGGTAAAACTGTCACGTGCGGTTGCTACAACAACAACTGAATGGAATTTTACTAAATAACGCCCAACATTTTCAAATTTACCCTCGCTAAACAAACAAAATAAAAATTTTTCGCTCAATAGCTACTTCACCCGTTACAATTTATGAAAAAAAATGACTTTCGAGTCGGGCACCTTGCGCTAAATTGGGGTAGTGCGGTCTGAGCCTTGCCCTCTCAAACAATTACTTTTTTCTATTTGTCCATTTGTTAGACTACTATAACAAAGGATTTTCAGCACGAGAGATCACGAACTGTGGAAATTTTTACGGCTACTCATAAATTACGTTCATAGAAACCAAGAAGAGGTCGGTATTTGGTGGGCTGTATTTACAACTCGCCAGGAGAGCTTTCTTTCGACTGTCTTGCTTTGAATTTGAGTTTCCTGAAATTTAAACAGGTGGTTCAAGGAGACACAAACTTGTGACCATGAAAAGACGGTTCTATTGTCTACGGTCTGCTTTGAATGATTCATGAAAAGTGGCAAATTGCCCAAACAACTCTCCGTCCTTTCTATCATAACGCGAACCATCTAATGTCTTGAAAGGGAAGTTTTCTCTCTTTCGTTGTTTTTCTTTTTCACTTACAGAACATTCATAGACCGCGAGAGCTTGATCAGTTAACCATATCGCCTTGCTAACGGTTGAGTTGTTTCACCGCCACTGGTCTGTCGCAATGAAATGTATTCAAACAAAAAAGTCTCCTTTAATTACTTTTGGAAATACACCCAAATTATTAACACGAGAGCGGTCGAACATACGTAATTATCCCCGTACTCTTAACGGAAAACATAGTGCGTCGAGCATATTGTGTAGAGGATGCCCACATATTACATCTAAGAATCAAAAGTTTGTTTTGTCTTCTTCGCCATAGAGAGAGAGCGCGAGACAACTGCCATATGGTTTAGATACGACAATGTTTTTAAACTAACCTTTCGCAGGGTCTCAATTCGGCGCGTAGAAACCAACATATCAAATAGTACACATTTCCGAGTGTATGGCAACCCAATAACGATATTTGCTGAGGCTGATTAGATTCGGAGAAAAATTCTACGGCCATGTGATTATCGCTCTCGGCTGTCTGTAAAACAAGAATTTATCGCAGAGTGGCTATGAAAGTCAGAGATCTCGGGGATGTTAAAATTAGCTGGTACCAGTTGAAAGCTGCCTGCAGGCAAAAGTTGAAAACCAGCCGATTCTTTGTTTGCCACACGATCTCGCCAGCAAACATTCTTTAACTTTTTATTAATTCCTTTTTCTCCAGTTTCTTGTATTGAAAACGCTACGTTCAATTTAAACAAGAATGTTTTTTTTTTTTGTTTCAGCTGTTGAGTAGTAACAGTCACCGCTGGAAAATACTTTCGCTATGAATTATTACAAATTCGCCACAGGGAGTCTTTCAATTCGCGCAAGAAATGATCGAGAATAAATAACGATTTCTGATCCGTTTGTTAAGATACTCACGAGATCGTGGCCTTCTTTTTGCCCACGAGCCAAACCGAAATAAACGCTAAAGAAGGACTTACAAGTAGAGCGAAATTGCAAACAGTTTAAATTAGATGACGTGGTGCTTCTATCTGAAGTGTTAAGAGAACTATTCTCAGGCTGGTACACAGTCAGGTTATCTCCGCGTTATCCCTTGAGATCTGTGTTTTACCTATTTCAATAGTAGCGTATTGTTGTTTGGATTTTGTAATGTCTGCGTGATCTGCACGAGACAAATTAAAACTTTTAGCCTTGCAGAGCTTTTTAAATTGTTGTCACGCACATGTCATATGCTAATACGCTTAATTAAAATAACAAAGTGTCAATGTTAGTGTCTGGTTTGGCGACGCGGCTGCCTTTTGAGCAGTAAGGGTTTATCCGAACTGACGAACATTGCCGAACAACTTACGACGGGATTGCCAGACATTGTTGGTGTTCTGATTTTCAGTTTGTTTCGACTGCTTGCAATGCGAGATTTTCAAGCACAAACCTAAAACTAAGTTTACCTTGCTCTTTACATTTAGACAGCCAAAAAGTGTCAGCAACGTAGCATTTTATTGGCAAAGGCACGTTTTTACCTGTTCAAAGGGCCAAAATGAGCTCTGTGGTTGCTAGCGTAGAACTGCCAGATTGAAAACAAAACAACTATTTGTGTTTTGGGTATCAGCTGTACAAGACCCAGTAACTCGTTGGTTTGCGGCTACCTTGTTTCAATGGCTTCTTCCTTTCGGTCGGAACGAAAGTTCAGTCGGCCATTTCGTTGTTCAAGAGCCCATTTAAAACGACCACTCCTTTGACTTTGGTGGCTCTACTGTGTTCAGTATCGGGGTGGTTCTATTCAAGGTTTTCTGATAAGAAAATGACTGACTGAGCTATTGCTTAAGCCCAAAGTGAAAGTTGTTGTTCGAGTCAAGGTGATCTTAAGGCGCGGCTTAATAAACTGGAAAAATGGCTCTCTCACCTTTTTGTCTGAATTTTGTTTGCTATGATTTTCCAAGCCTGGATTATTTGATCAGAGTTTGAAGCTATTACCGACAAGGGCTGTTTACCATTTACCCAAAAACTGTGCTTACCATTTGCAATTCTTCACCGCCATCTTGAAATTATGATCAGGTCGAACTCATCCAAACCGTTGACGAACCGGTTTCTCCAGTGTAAATGGGGAACTACCAAGATATTCTTGATAAATATCTTGGCATCTCATTCACACAGAGCAGTGACGGATGACCTCGTGCGTTCGCAAACTGGTCGATCAGTGAAGCCTGTGGGCACAAAATAAGGTGCACCTTGATTTGAGTCAATCTATTTTCTTTCAGAAACCCGAGGTTTGACAGCTCTTCTGCAATGGTGGAATTTCAGGCATCCCTCACCCTCATCCTCATCGGGCCCATGGGGACTCTTGAGGCCGGGTGGAATTTCAGGCATGGCTAGACTAAATCCGCATTGCTCGGATCGCAGGACAAGAACAGTTTCGGATATTTAAATTTATATACATATAAATTTATATACATATATTTTTACCAAACAGATGGCTGGTTCGCTAGGTCTGAGAAGTGAATTAGAAAAATTATCCATCCAGGCTTGCTTATTCACGACATTTATGTTTTGTTAAAAGCGGAGTAAAAAAAAATAATAATTGACCTTGTCCAGTTCTCTTAGTACCCGCCCTGATAAGCGAACGCAAAGCGGCCGGAATTCAAAATGAACAATACTTTCGATCCGGAGTCCGACATGCTAAACATCAGTTATGTAATCACACCAAGCGTTTATTTTTTCTCTTCTTCCTCGCTCGAGCTTTTGCACGGTCATGCTTTCATCCCATGCATTATCAGTTCTTATTCCGGTTTGACTTTTAGGGCCTGGCCGGACAGTTTGCAACCTAGACAAACGTTGACAAGAGCCTTTGAACAGGATTAAGGGATATGCATTTATCCCACTTTGGGGGTCAAAGAACGCTTCATCAACGCTGAAGTTCGTAAATAATTCACTTACGAATGCTTAATGGTCAACGGTCACTGCACAAAATAAGACGAGCCTTTTTGTTGCGAATAAAATACTAGCTGTAGATCATTGTGACTGAAATTGACAGAATTACTTTTTGCCCAAGCAGCTGGAGTGGTAACTCGAACCCGCGAATTGTGACAGCAGCCCTCTCCCATTTCTCCTTTGTTTCGTGCAACTTGGCTCGCAACAAATTTCTAGAAAAACTCCTACGAGGTGCGGCACACCGCACCTTCGTCACTGTAGTGATATCACAGTCAAGTTCAACTTCTGTAACGTTCTGCTATACCAATGTTTGAAGTCGTGAATCTTTTTTTTTTTTTTTTTTGCTTTGGTACACCAAGCGCAATTTCTAGTGAGAAAACCGAAGTTGAAGGCATCTTCCCCGTATAACACACAGTCAGCGACCTCCCTAAAGTTTCAAGTTGTTCCAGGTTTGAATTAGAGCGAGAAAAATAAGATCATTTTGGCAAATTTAGAGCTGTAATGGGTAATAAATACAATGACTGCAAGCACTATCCAACTAGGTTGACCTATTCACCACTGACGGCTTTCTCCACTGTCCCAAATCCGAAAATTAAACGTGTTCAGAGTTAATCTAGTCAAATGCTTTACAAGTAAAATTTGCAAAAACATTCCTCTTTACTTTGCATAGAAAAGAGGAGGGACTACACAGAGACACAAAATAGGCATGGTCTTATTGCTAAAGCCCTTTGTTACGTGATTTCGCCAACTAACTTGATGGAGCAAAATCATGATATGCATTGAATGATAACAAGAGAAAATTCTAACTGACGAATCTTCATAGCAGTGTCACTGAAAATGAAGGTATAGACAGGCATTGATCAAAAACGGGACGGTTTAAGTTTAAGGTTTTGCTCTGAACATTGTGTTGTGAGACTCGGCTACTAAAGGAAGCAGCCAAAACGATGCTGTTTTATAATTTTTAAAGGAAGAGGAATCTCAGCTGGGCAGGCAAAGAAGTCAACAGCTTCGAGGGAATCAGATGTATTCGGTACATATTGCAACCCAACTCTTTTAGTTTGCTCATCAGTAGTCGTAAAAATAAAATAAGATAACAAAATACACAAAAATGTGAAAATACGAAGCTCTAAGAAGCTCTGAATCGTATTTTCATAACTCTGGCTAAAACGACAGTTCATCAAGGTAAGTCGCACAGTCAAATACTTACATGATCGATGAAGTTGTTACATTTGGCCTACTGTGCAACAGAGAGGAAATATTTTCCTATCAGTTTTCTTTTGGAACCATCAAGTTGAATGGAATCTTGGATCTTTGAACGCTATTAATAGGATAAAAAAGTTGTTTTGTTGTTTGTCCTCCAGTGCCGGTCACGCGAAGGGGCACGTGGCTTACAAGATGATGGATAGCACAAAGTCCGGAAGATTTCAAAAGGGCTTTTCAGCATAACAAAGGAGCTGACTTGATAATCCAGTCCGGTCCTTTCGTAGAAACAGCAATAAGCACGTATCTTAAACAAGAGAATGTCTCTTTGATAAAAAAAAATGTCATGTTAACATGGTGGCTGAAAGGAGAACATTCACTCCGCCCCCGCTGTAATTGTCAGATAACTTTAAAATGCAAAGAAATGGCCTGTCTTACACTTGAACAAAAGAAATGACTCCTTGATAGAAAATTACTGTGTTGCTATTTTAGTTAAAAAGAGGACCCTCAAAACATTATCCACCGTAAATATAGGATAAATTAATGTGACGAAACGACCTCTGTCCTGCACTGATAATCTCCAACATCACCGGCTTGATAACAATTTACAAACACAAATAGACAAATTCCTTTTTATTTCGAAAATCATTGTTGTATTATTATTGTTGCTGTTCTTGTTTGCTTCTTTCATGAATTACCGCACGAAAATCGTATAAAGTACTGGCGACATGCGCGTGATTTACTCGAGGCGGATCACCCGCCAGACGTCTGGAACAGCAAGTCCAAGGTTTAAATAGAGTCAGCGGACTGAAATGCCCTTCATATAAGACTAGAAGGAAAATGGCGCCCTGCTGAAATTTTGATTCGGGGATCGAAGGTTGTTGGGATTCTCAGACTGAGACACTTACTCGGATAAGGTAGGAAATTTCCTCGTTTTTGACTTGTCTCTTTTATTTTAGGCCACCTTTGTTTTTTAACGATTAGTAATTTTTGCTTCGTGGTGACACCTTAATGGCTTATAGTTGTTTCAGCACGTGCATGCTTTATTTCAATTCTCCTTGATCAACCCTTATATCTCTACATTTGCGTAAGATCTCTTGGTTTAGTGTTAGTGATGAAATATTCGCAAAAACCGCAACTACACCCACTTAATTGAATAAGTTGATAATGATAAGAACGATCACAAAAAAAGATTATAAATATTTAAGCTTAAATCCAGCCTGCGTGGACAGGGTTCTCATTTCTCAGGCACGGTCAATCCCACTTTGCTCACTTGCAGTTTACAAAATCGGCTCTCTTCTATATCTTTTTTGTGCCTGTGGTCGATCATCACGATAATAAAGTGTTTATGCAAAACAAGTTACCTTCCTGGAACTTCCCGGTTGCTGCCGCTAACTGCCAACTACACTTCTGGTCTGCATTTCAAATACTTCTCTCTTCGAATCTCGCATAAAGTAAGCTTACCTTATTGTCTCTTATTTTTGCGGGAACTTAAGCTTAATTTTGCAAAAATGGAATAGGCATATTTCGCGGGACGTAAATTTTACGATTTGTGATGTTAAAAAGGAACTGAATTTCAAAATGAAAATTGTCAAATTACTGATCTTCACAAACAAACAGTTTTATTCAGAATTGGCGCAACTAAATTTAATTTTCTACAGCAATAGTTTGCAAAGCATGGGGGGGGGGGGGGGTGCAGGTGCAGGGATGGCACAATGGTGAGAGCGCTCGCCTCTCACCAATATGGCCCGGGTTCGATTCCAGCCCCGTGCCATGTGTGGGTGAGTTTGCTGTTGGTTCTCACCTTGCTCCGAGGGTTTTTCTATGAGTTCTGTGGTTTTCCTCCCTCCTGAAAAACCAACATTTCCAAATTCCAATTCAATCAGGATAGAGGACTCCCCCATGAAAGCCAGCTAGGGCTGATGTGACTTCCTCTCTAAATATCATAATTTACAGTAACGAAACGAAACTGAAACTTGTTTGACATGTTCCTTTGCAACAAAGCAGAGCTAAACAGAGTACACAACACCATCTATTTGTACTTACAGCTGAAAGACAGTTTTAATTTCTTCAAAGGACTCCACAAGGAAGAGCGGACTCACCCTTTACTATCCCAGCAACTCCTGCCTTCTCCCATCCTATGATTAAATGTTTTTCTCGGGTCTTTAATCTTGTGATTTTTAAATTGTGAAAATTAATTTTCATGAAAGTAAGTAACAATAAGGCATACAAAGCATTAGAATCTAGTTTGACATCACTAGCCCCAGACCTCAGGGACTTGTGACCTGGTGACTATTTTTGGGCCATTTTTAATGACTTATAACTTAGACAGCGTATAAAAATCTAGGTTTCAACTGAAGCAAATTGGACAGTTTTTTTTGTGCCATTTTACTTGAAAAGACTATAAAGATTTTTTTTAGCAAAAACCCAAAATTAATACATAATGTACCTTGGATCCTGTCCTTTGAATTATAAGGTAATGACAATGCTGATGTAAACTTTATTTTAAATTTGTGATTTTTTTATCAGGAGAGCTGTCAAAGGAAGTTTTAATATTAACTGCTGTTTGAGGCATGGTCTTGCCAATGAGTGTGAAGAAATTTGCCGTAGTCTGGTTATGGCTGGTGGTAGTTTTCTTAGCCAGTGGCATTATCATCAATTTCGTTCAGCTCCTCTTGTTGCCGCTTTGGATCATAAACAAAGACTTGTTCAGATGGCTTAATTTGAATGTGGTTTACCTGCACTGGTGCCGTAAGTACAAATTTAGGCAGCTAAACCATATTAGTATAAATCTACTAGCGTTCTATCATAAATACCTTTCTATGCCCGTGGTTTCATGAGAGATGTTTACCTTGGTTTTGTTTTAACTTTACTGAATTGAAATTTTTAATCATGTAAACACAGTAGCAAACCTTGGTAAATGGCGGCAAAATCAAAAGTAAGCCAACCTAGGTTTGTCAACAGTTGAATGCCTCATCAGGCATGGTTTAGCTCGGTAACCGACGGTAACCTAGAAAAAGCAGATGTTGTCGTGATATCTTAGCAGCAAGTGTTCATGCGTGCAGTGCATAAAGAAGAGAAAAATAGACAAAGATTCCTCCTAATGTAAGTAGGTTTCAAGTCAATGGGCAAAAAAAGCTAACTAAACTCATGTTTAGGCAAAGAAATCCCAGGTTGCTGTTTCCCGTTCTCAGGGAGATACAAAATTTCTTTGACCCTGAGTGTTTGTTGTGCTGACTCATGAAATATTTTTCAACACGAGAAGATAAATGTTGTATCTCTAAGCAGCCATGTAATGTTCTATTTATTGTATAAACGCCAATGAAATACCAAACCATTTCACTTTTGCTGTGAAAAGCGCAATTATGTAACATAGCAGCTTATGGTGATTTTTTCATGAGTGAAGATAACATGTTATTTTTGCATGTGAATATATGAAATCTCACCTGGTGTGATTTCATTGGTGTTTATATAATAAAGTTGCGATTGCGAGTTATTTATGTCAAGTTTTTGTGTGCAGGCTGTAGCACCTGTTATGTTGGTGAAACGAACAGACATTTCACCACCAACATCTGTGAACATCTTCTCTCAGACAAGCATTCCCTTATATTTAAACACATAAGGGGTTCTGATAATTGTCGCTCCCTTTGTTCAGAAGAATGTTTAAACATTTTTGACTCGGCTTCCACTAGCTTCCAATTAAAATCAAGGAAGCCATGCACATCCTTTGGGAGCAGCCATCTTTAAATTCCCAAGTTAAACATCTTAATATATCCCTTGTTATTTTAGTGTTAGATTTTCACTTTTTCCTGTTTTGCACCTAATACTCCTTAATTATTCTCATTTTCATCACACACTGTTACTTAAAACTATTGCTACAACTACTGGTCACTTTCAGTTGCAGGGCTTCAAGTGTCCCTATATTTCGTGTATTTTTTAACTTTTCCTACAATCCCTATAATTTTACAATAAAAAGGAAAAACGTTCTTTCTAAACTCATAAACTTAGTGGATGTCATGCCGGGCAGTGGATCGCTAGATTCTTAAAGACACTGTTCTTTTGGCATGCCAAAGTTCATGATGTTGCAAAGAAAACTGTGGACATGCTTGAGGAAACAGGCTCACAGTTACCTCTCTCATGCTTGATAAGTTTGCCTTCAGAGAGACCAAATGTTAACAAAAAAAGTTTGGAATGCAGTCAACAAAGTATTCTTAGATGAAGGACTCCCTGTTCTTCTACCATTTATCCATGAATGGTATAAATGTATTTGTAGAAAGTTGCAAGACAAGTTCTTAAAGACATTGAGGGGAAGCACCTGCTGAAGTCAGACAACCTACTGTCAAATTCACAGATAGAAAAGGGTGAAAATGCTCACTCTGCCCTATGTGAATGGTATAAATGTACTTGTAGAAAGTTGCAAGACAAGTTCTTAAAGACATTGAGGGGAAGCACCTGCTGAAGTCAGACAACCTACTGTCAAATTCACAGATAGAAAAGGGTGAAAATGCTCACTCTGCCCTATGTGGAGACTACAAAGTATCCGATTGACCATTTACCAATAGATCTAGATCCAAATCCCAGAGATGGAGAGCATGGAGCACAAGCTATTTGAAGACTAGCTGTAATGATGCCAACAAAATCAGAAGAAGAAGAGGCACTCTCTAAAAAATAAATGGTAGACCTGCATATCATCAAAGATCAGTCGTCTGAAATTTTATGGAGAGCCACACAACGTTTACATTACAGAGAACTTATTCAAGCCACAAGAGGTGTGCAAAGTGTATGGAAAACAAGAGAAGAACTAATATGTAGATTTAGCCAAGTCTAAAACTGGAGCTCCTGAGCTGGGTTGTTCAAAAACAGATTAAGTTAACCCTGGATAAGTGAGAATTTTGATCTGAGTTTTTTTTTTTTTACTTTGGCAGTGAGATTTTCTGCTTATATTGTCTGGCCATCTGAGGTTTAATAATTTCAAACTACATGAACATATTCAGTGGAAAAACATTTTCGTACAAGAAAATTTTTTACTTGGGTTAACTTTTGATCCTTGGTTAGCGTTAACCGGCTCAGTTCTGAACAACCCAGGCCTGATTACAGTAATTAAATTTCAAAAATACATGTGACTTCAATGAGCTCAAAACTTGAGCCTGCAATATGGTCATGTGATACTGGTCAGTGGACACCAGGTGTCAATTGACCATAAAATGGATGTCGAATATCAAAGATAGATGTTGTTAACTAAGACCGTATGTCCTATTAGCTAGAGTATGGCTGCTATGTTGCACAATACTGTCGTCGCCGTTGTCTTCGTCGTTGTGTGTACCCACCCATGAGCAATACCGCTAGCCATTTTTACTATGAGAATTAAAATGATTCACGGGTTTCTATGAGTATGTGCCGGAGCTCCGCTATTAAGGAAAATGGCCATTCAAGATGGAGAGGAACAAGGCTAGGAGATGCAGATAGGGAAAGGCAACAGGAAGCACAGAAGCTGGAACAAAGAAGACTAAACTTGTTTGAGATAGGAAAAGAACTGATGAAGTCAGAAAAGCTGAAGGACAGTGAGCTGCGAACGGCCAAAACGCTGTATGAAGTTCAAGATTCGTGCAAGTAATTAAGAACAAGAACTGCAGCTCAAGGACTTCTTGAAGCTGCAAAAATGAAGATGGAAAATGCAATGGACCAAAGCAAACAGTGTTCAAATAAGAGAACTGAACTAGGCAAGAACAAAAAGAGACTGTTAGAAGGCTGAAGGAAGAACAGGATGTTAAATGCAGTGATGAGTTGTACGTTGAGATTTTAAGTTCACATAAACTTGCACAAATAACAGGATGGATTGATGTTAGAAACTTTCTTGACAGAAATCTCTTAAAAAAGAAGAATAAATATTGTAGTTTTGTGACTTATCTCTTGTAAGTGCTTCAAAATAACCCTATATTGTCCATATAATTATTTTTGAATCCCTATATTAACCCTATAATTTTAGATAAAAGACCCTTGGTTATATTTAACCCTATATTTTTCCAGGAGGCCACTTGAAGCCCTGCAATTTTTATTGTTGTAAAACTGATGATGGATGATGTTTCATCCAAAACATGTCTTGTTGATATAAGTCATGAATTTCAAACACATCATGTGGTTTTTGAAAGCAACATAATAAAGTTGAATTGTTATGTTTGGATTTATGAAAATAGTGGTAAAGAAAATCTCATGGTCACCCATTCTCCAAAGTACACAATATAAAAATTGTAAGGAATGTCTACTTATTGTTTTTTCCTCCACTGTCTTATGTTCCTGCCACCCAATTTTTTCTGAGAGTACTCACCCTGGGTCTAAAGTTAGGCATTATTCATTGATACAGTTTTCATAAGGCCAATCATATATATTATTTTATATGCACAAGAAGAAAATAAAGCTCCTTATATTTGTCCCCTTTAGCATTCTCTTCCCTGGAAGGATAGTGGTTTAGGGGGAGGGGTGCTCCATGGATGTTTCGGTAGGGGAAGTGCCACCCAGGTGTCCAGAAATATTTCTATTTCAGACCAAAATAAATCATTTTCATTCATGTATTTAGATGTGGCTCAAAGAATAAACTATCTGCCAAAAAAAGCAACAACTGTCAACAAATGAGCAGATTAATATGCCAGTCAACTTATATTTCTGTCGAGTATTGACTGAGTGGGCATTTCATGTGTCACTCTGCTGATATCTCTTCCTTCCTGCACATGATGCAGATGTTTTACAGCCAGACAATGTTTTTTCAGGCTATGCCTAATGCTTTTTTATCAACTTTTTTCTGCACTCATTTGAAGCTTTGATTAAGCATTTTTTTTGGTGTTACGTGAGCCTAAATTAAGTTCTTTCATAACTTAATGGTCTGTTTCTAACAATATTTTAGATCCATACACACACGCTTAACCTATTCTTGGATGCTTCAAATATTGCATCACTTGGTGATGTTTAGTGAGTCAAGTTTTGTTCATTTGGTTCTCGTTATCCTTACCTATCTAGAGCCTGTTGCTTCACCAGACTCTCTGAGTTACACAGTTTTTGTATGTGCACCAAATACCAAAGAAGTTAAAGTCAGCAGAGTTTTGAACTTTTAACATGATTTCAATTAAAAAAATTTATATTTTTCAGTTAAGTACCAGTGATTAAGTCTTATTAAGAACATTTTAGTCTTGATCGCATTTTAAAATGCAATGACAGTAAAAAAATATTTGATCAACCTAGCATTAAACTCACCAAATCACGTTCATGGAGAACTTGTCTTGGTTTGATCATCAATTTGCTTCTGCGAGGAGGAGTTTACTAATTTTATATAGAACATGGGCAGTAATATCCCCTAATATTTTAAGAGGTGTTAGTTGTAATCTACTTTCATTGTTTCCTTATCTTATTTGCATAATTTCCAGCCAGATAATTTGTCTGTGGCATGTGTGTTACCGGTCTTTTCAGTTCATTCAATAGTCTTACCTTGATTGTTCACAATTATTAAATGCTACCATTTTGTGTTTTGAATAAAGCTTAAAATATTTTTTTATTTTTAAATTTGTGAAATTATAAACTGGGAAAGTTGATATAATCACTGAATATAGATGTCCACTGCATAACTAAAGCAAGAAGTGTGTTAAGGAATTACTTCAGCAATTGCATTTAGCTGTTTACAGTTTCATACACCATGCTCTGTTTTTCTCTTTTTGATAAAGGAGAATAACAGCTGAAGGGTTTCCCATGCTAACTGAACCTAATTTGTTTTCAGTTTTGCTGCACAACAGTTTCAGATACTAAATATGAATTATTTCATATATACTTCACATCAGTTTCAGATACTGTAATCTTATTTGCATGTTTGCATTATAGAGCATTTTCACTCACATAGCCAGCAGCCATAGAAATTTATTGGAACAAAAAAAGAAAGTGGTTACATAAGAAAAGAGTTCAAATCACACAGGATTGGTTTGGGATAGCAACCTGGCCACCATTTCATTGTTTTGTGACATCAATGTATATCCATACCTCCCCCACAGAAGGGATTTTTGTAAGACCCGCCCCTCTGGAAATGCCGATTTAGCTTCATACATTTCTTTAAATTTGTTGATCTTACAGAACCCCCCAACCCCCACGAAATTCTAATCCCTTCTGTGGGGGAGTATGGATGTTTTCTGGAACTGCACAATATAGCTGCAGTGAGATCATGTGAGAACACTCTATGTAAGTGGATGTTTAACTCACACATTCTGCAAGGATATTTCAAAATTTATAGCATAATGATTTGTTATGTTAAAAACTACTTGTTTCACATCTAGAACCACTGAGTATGTAACACTTTCTAGACTTTAGATCCATTATGTCCCAAATGTCTTTAACTGACTGGAATTGTGTTTGTCAACTTTCATGTTTATTGAGTGCATAATAGGTGGCTTTAATTCCCAAGTAAGAAATATTTAACTCTTTCACTGTTTTGTTTTTTCAGAGTTGACTTTCCTTGCAGAATGGTGGTCAGGTATGGATATCAAGCTCTATGGAAAAAAGGAGGACTTTGATAAAATAGGAAAAGAGAGTGCTATCTGTCTGGCGAATCACCGTAGTGATGTTGATTGGCTAATTGGATATACACTTGCTGATCGGGCAGGAGTGTTGGCGGTAAATGTGATCTTTTTATCAACAGTTTCTATGGACATAAAAAAAAATTTAGGACCTTAACAATTTTTTAAACACTTCTTTCTTTATTGATTCAAATTTTAAATAGTTTACAATGCAATAATTACCATTTCAATAAGAAACACTGGGCTGATATGTGTTAAAAAAGTGTCTTTGGTTGGTTTTTTTTATATAATTAAGGGAAGTCCTATTAATATAATCCTTATAAACAATGCATATCTCCGAGCTTACTCTCATGTGCAGTTCCAGAAAATATCCATACTACCCCCACAGAAGGGGTGAGAATTTCCTAGAGGTAGGGGAATTCTGCTTGACCAAAAACAAATAAAGAAATGTATGAAGCTTAACTGGAATTTNCCCCCCCCCCCCCACAGCCTCCCTCCCCCCAACAGAAGGGATTGGAATTTCCTAGCAGTGGGGGGATTCTGTAAGACCAAAAATTCAAAAAAATGTATGAAGCTTAATTGGAAATTCCAGAAGGGTGAGGGTGGTGTCTTATAAAAAATCCCTTCTGTGGGGGTATGGATATTTTCTGGAACTATCCTGACAATAACACAAAATTCTAAACAAGCTATTCGAATGAGGGCTTTTGAAAGAAAGGAGGAAGTCAGAGAAGTTTTTAATTGAGTGTTGTAAAACCAAACCAAACCAAACTAATTACTTACCAATTAGAATATTCAGCCTCAAATCGCAGTAAAACCAAAACCAAAGGAATTGTCTGATTACTTTCAACACTCAATTGAAAACCTTTCTAATAAACAATAATGTTATTGATCTTCTCTGTTGTTGCAGACATGCAAGTGTTACATGAAGGGGTACTTGAAGTTTTTGCCAATAATTGGCTTCTCTTGGTGGTGCACTGAATTTGCCTTCTTGCATCGAGACTGGCAGAAAGATCAGAAAGTTCTGGAAAGGAGTTTAAGCACACTTAAAGATTTCCCATTTCCATTCTGGGTTGGTAGGCCAATAATGCAATGACATGATTTTGTCTTCATTGTTTAATCATTCTGTACAGTTGAAAGTACAATCCATGTTTCTTCTCCAGGAGATGAGGTATTCAGAGTTGGAAATATTAAGCACACTTGTCCACTTGCAAACCCCTGACAAGATCTCTTAATCCCTTCAGGCACTTCCTCAGACCGCCAACTTCAGTTTAGCTGGTCTTATCCAAGTTTGGCAGTCACTCAGTTTTTTCATCTAATTATTTCAGAATTGGATATCATTAATAGATATTTTATTCAAGTTGAAGTAGAGAGTGAATACCTCTTATAATGTTAGCCCTGGTTCATGAATAAATGTGTTTTCTTTGTGGAGGTATTGATCAATGATTTTTTTTTTCTCCACCTGGGAAAAAATCCACCTTTAAACATTTTGGATTTATTTTGATTGGTCAACTCAAACAGAACATCAGGGAAAGCTGTAAACAGTTAGTGGAGGTTACACACTACAGCATACATCAACGCAAAAATTTCTAGCTTCTTGGAACACATTTTCAGCAACAACTGCCTAAATTAAAATGCTGCTGTCAAGTGCTGTGTGATCAGCAAAGTTATTTTCCAATGGCAAGAAATCTCAATGCCAAAATTGTAGTTTACAAGCTAGAGAAACAATGAAGAGGTTATCGTGTAAACGAGAATGGTTAGACCTTCATCAGCTGATTTTTATAAGACAAACAAGGAGGAGTTCTGTGTCTCTTAAATTAAATAATTTTTTTTAAACTTCTAGATGGCCATTTTTGCAGAAGGAACAAGACTTACAGAGGCCAAAAAACAGGCCAGTGTAGAATATGCTAGAGCACATGGCTTACCTGAGTTGAAACACCATCTACTGCCAAGATCCAAGGGTTTCTCTATGACTGTTCAATATTTTAAAGACAAAGGTAAACTAGAAATCCAAAGGTGTTCATATTCTTTTAAATGATAACTCATTCACTCATGTAGATCTGTTGATTGCGGGAACCTTGGCAGGGAAGAGGTGGGGTGGGGGGGGGGGGGAATTTCCCATATAAAAAGGCTGGGGGTCGTCATACCTTTTAGGGGTTAAAAAATCGGGTTTGGTACCTCTTTGGGTGTTCAGCCTAAAAAGGTTGACAGCAGGAACTTTTGCAGTGCCTCTTAGGGTATTGAGTCAAAAAGAGTCAATGTCATTTAATGTGTTATTTGAGAAATGTGACCTCGTAGGGAATCTTAAGCCATGCCCACAAAACAGGATCTTCGCACCTCTTAGGGGTTCTTTTCAAAATTTCTGACCTGTACAGTCCTTTATATATGGGAGTCCCCCCCCCTCCCCTGGTGGGGAATGCAGTAGCTCCATGGTTCTTAGTAATCCAGAAGAAGAAAAGTTTGAACATAGTCAGGGTCCTTGTTGTGTTCTTGTCCAAGTTGTTCCCTCACAGTTCGACACAGTACCTCTCTTTGCAGAAGTGCAGACCTGAATTTCAGGTGTCTCCTGGAGTCACATACCCTGTCTTTTCAGGAGTGTGTGACTCAAGGAGATGGCTGAAATTCAGGGTAGTTGGCAAACTGGACTACATATGAGTTGGACACATATTCTAATAATTAATGCAATGAAAAAAAACTTGATTTCAGTGACAAATGTATAGAGCTGTACAAAATGAGACAAGCTTACTGGGGACACTATTGTCCACTAGAAAGAAAAACAAGAAGTCTAAGTAAGAGAGGAGAAGAGAAGCCAACACTAATATTATTGTATAATGCAGGTTCCAGAATAGTGGCAGCTAGTGTCTGATGTAGACTTGCTAGTTTCTAATAACACTATGAAGAATTTCTTTAAAAAACACTCGTCTTATCCAGAGAGATAAGCAAAGTTGTACTGTTAGTTGAATTATGCGGCAGAGACCAGACTTAGTACCGGCAGCTCTGCGAGTCATTCACTTGGCTTGTCCTGTACTGACAGTCTTTGTTTATGTTGTTTTTAGTACCTGCAGTGTATGACATGGAAGTTGCTTTTCCAAAAGACAAGGAACCAAACCTCCGTCGGATGCTCATGGGTGAGGGGAGTGAGGTTCATCTTTGGCTAAGGTAATTCAAAATAGTGGAGCGGTTTTGAATTGAGTGTTGTAATACCGAAACCAAACCAATTACTCACCAATTAGACTACTCGGCCAATCTCAAACGTTAAACCTAGTAGTCTAAAACCAACACCAAAGTAATAGATGTCCAACAGTAGCAATTTAATGTAGACATAATGATAGATGCGAATGCAGCAATAACACTACTGGAACCAAAGTAATTGCCTGATTACTCTCGACACTCAATTGAAAACTGCTCTTTGATTTAATAATGTTAGTTAGGTTATTATTACTGGTTAAGAAATGTGTTTCATTCAGACCGTTTGTTTTCTGCGCTTATTTTATTGCCATCGCTTATTTTATCGTCATTAAGATTGATTTAGCTATGAAATGCTTGCTAAACGAATGTTGTACTTGTGCACTGAGTTCCATCTGTTCTGCCTTCCTAACTGTTTTCATGATTTTTTCCTACAGGCGAACTCCACTTCAAGATATTCCTTCTGACAGTATCGAGGATACATCCCAATGGTGCAGGGAGGCTTTCCAGGAAAAGGTAAAAAAAAAATTTCTCACAATAACGTGGTCAAATATTTCCCCATGCTATATTTTGGAGGGGAGAGGGACCGGGGAAAAGTAGTTTCGAGTCGCGCCACCTGAGTTTCACTCGATTTCTAACCATTACTTGTTTTATTACCGTAAATCCATTTTGAAATCATCAGTGCTTCTTGCAATCTGATTGGAAGCCGAGGAAACATTTAGGTCGAGAGGAAACATTACTCACTGTTTCCTGCGGGGCCAGTCATTAAGCGTTTTGTAATACCTCCCAACTCAAAAGTAGAAAAAAAACTGCGAAGAAATCGTTTGGTTTACGCCGGCTGGCTCACAAATTTACCGCGGTTTCAAGGAGCACGACCTGATCATGTGCGAGTCTAAAGTTCATGATGTTGTTTCCCTAGGGAGTTAGTGAGTTTTGCTCGCCCTAGGGAGTGAGTTTTGACCCACGACACGTGACACGTTCTCCTCCAATCGGATAACGTATTTGAGTTGGGAAGTATAACAATTACCATTATTTACCGCGCTTTCCACCGGCGGTTGCCATTTCCCCGCGCTTTCCACTAATTTCGCGTTTTCCCGCACTTTCAACCAATCGAATTCTTCCCCCTACACGTTTTCCCGGGCTGTTTGCCTGTCACGTGTACCACTTTGGATTCTGATTGGTGTAGCTGACAGCTCTTTCCTACCTTGGTAATTGACTGAAAGAGTTGCACTGTAGTTCCCTAGTGTTGTTCTGATCCTTTTTACATCTTTTCTTTCAGGATAAGGCAATGAGCTACTTTTTCGAACATGGTAGATTTCCAGAAGACATATATGAATATCCGAGGAAATCCAGGAATCTCTTGGTTGTTTTATGCTGGAATACTATATTGAGCTTACCACTAGTTTGGTATTTCATTTCTGTCATACTTTCTGGCTCCATTGCATCACTTTTAACTGCTGCTGCTATTGTTCTAGTAGGTACGTTGCATAATCAATGTTGATTTATCATATTTCTACCACTGCATAATAATCAGTGTTGAATTACGTATGGAAGTACATTTCGAGCGTCAGGCATTCCTCGTGTGAACAAATCGATTTTTTCCGATGAAAGACTTACTCTCGTATCTTAGTTACCAAACAAACAAAAGACAAAAAAACAAACAGTGGCTTCGTAACAGCACTGAGTAAGTAACAGTTAAACAAAACATAACGCGCGCCAACTAAAAACGTAGCAATCAAAAACAAACCAAAAACGTTACAAACAAGAAAAAGAGCGCCAACGTGTAAAAGACCGCGCCAATCACTAACGAAACAATCAAACGCGAAACAGAACCCATGTACGACACAACGGACAGCGCAAAAATGAACGTGAAAAGAACTTGAACCTGAACTGAGCGATAGGGCTACTAACAGCTTGTGAAGTTAACGTCAAGTTACCGCCTACTGAAGGATATAAAGTTTTTTTGTTTTAAGTCGCTGTAGGCCTTGTCAGGTGTTAAGATCACAGAGACCAGGTGAGACGTTGAACTGAGTGTGAAATAATTAGGCTCTACTATTTATTTTGAAGTCTAAGTTTGAGTACCGGCTATTTTAGACAGGTCCAAAATAGTAGTAAAATAAATCATGGTAGCCCTAAAGTTAGAAATCAGTAGTAATTGAAAAAGTGCCAAACAAGTCTATTGTGTACCAGACGTTTCGGGCCTAGTCCTTCTTGGATTGAACACCCGAGGAGACTCTGGAAACGAGCTTGTCCATTGTGGCTAAGGGTGTCTGTTAGCTTAGATTTCACTGCACTAACCGATGTTCTTTGTACTCACTGTAGGTTACATCATGATCAAAGTGCTGCTTCACTTCAGTGACTCCAAGAAAGGAAGTAGTTTTGGATTGAAACCCTCAAATGGGCTCGCCAATGGCGGCGCAACCAAAAAACAAACCTAGATCACACTTGGACTGTATAAAGATATTTAACATCTAAATGAACAGCAGAGAAATTATCAAAAGTAGGACTATTTTTGAATCTTTGCAATAGTTAGTTACATTTTAGCCTCCAAAATATTGATTTTCTCTTATGTTTTGGTGCGGGTTTTACGAGTGTGTTTGATATTGTATCTACATTCTGAATTCAACAAGGATTTTCAAATTGCCCAGAGAAGAGAAGAAAACTTCACTTCGCAACGGCATTTTAGTAGCGTAACTGTGTAAGTGCAGGACATACTCGAAATTTTTAATTTGACGTCTTTATGTTTAATTGGTGGAAAATGACGTCACTCGTAATTATAATTTCGTTACATCATTTTTAATTTTGAAGTCATTTGTAAGTATAAATTTCCGAGATAAACAATACGACAACTCAAGATTAAAGCACGAAGACGAAAACTACAAGTACCGTATAGTTCATCACTTTGTCTTCACATTTGACACACAGTCGAACCTCTCCACAACGGCCATCTTGGGGACGGGGAAAAATGCTGTTGCAGAGAGGTGGCCTTTATGGGGAGTTAGGGGTGAAATATGACAAATTTTTTGTTGTTTTTTTCGGGAGTGCAATATTTTTGTTTTTCAAAAAAATGTTTATTGTTGCATATAAATACGTAACACTGATTACTACGTAGAAAGCTTAATTTAACGGGACAACGGCATGATAGAGTGCAAAGTGAAAGCCAAGAATTGCAGGTCTCGTCAGCACGGTGTAGCAGCAAAACGTAAAGCAACCGGCTGGTTGACCGATCATCCACTCAACGCACATAATGGTAATGACCTCAGATGAAACTCAAATGCGGACTGCGGATTGGCCAATGTCACCCATTTAGTAGACTATCGGTCAACCAGCCGGTTGCTTTACGTTTTGCTGCTACACCGTGCTGACGAGACCCAAGAAGGTCGAAACAGCTGTCCACGGTTGCAATTCTTGGCTTTCATTTTGGATTCTATCATGTTGTCCCGTTAAGCTTTCTACGTAGTAATCAGCCTTGCTTCATTGTTATGTTTCTACTCTTGGCTGATCAGATCATATACAGATCCTACGTATGCCGGCAGCTTTTTCGTTTGCGGTCCCTTGCATCATTGTATTTAATACAACAGGAACAGAGACCAATGGCACGCGGTAAGGATCAAGTTTCGTGGCCTTCTACAAAAAAAAAAAATTAGGGTTTTGAATTCACCGTTTGTCAGTCGTTGATTAAGTTGATACGCGCTTTAGTGTCCGTTGCCGTTGTGGAGAGGTGGCCGCTGTAGAGAGGTTAAAATAAGATTGTATGTATGGACCGACTGTATTCTTAGTAATAAGATACGGATCCTTTAAACTCATATTTGGTACGTGAAGTTTCTCGCGAGCTATAATGGGATAATAGGTTTTGAATTGAGCGCTCAATGCAGCGCTGAGTATCCGGGTTGAATCAATTGCGAGTAATTTCGCCTTTTCAATTTCCTTACTCTAAAATTTACTTGTCATAAACGAATAAATAAAGAAATAAATAAATAAATAGCACCTCTGAATCATAAGTTGGTCTTCACTTAACTTAGTATCTACATTTCAAACGTGGTAAGTCCAACAAGCTACCTTATTTAAAGAAATTTTGGCAACTTCTTTTTGATATTTTAAAAAACGCAGCACTAAATTGTCGTAGCATTGTATATTTGCGAAACCAGGTCTCTAAATTTTCTCGCATGACAGCTCCGCCATCTCGCTTGTGAAATCCTGCAAACTACACCATCTATATAGGGTAGATTTCAAATGTTAACAGGAAGCTCAAAACAAAATATACAAACGTTTGATGTTATATTCAGGGTTTCGGAGTCATGGTTAACTGTGCACATTCACAACTGGGATATCGAGAGAAAAGCGAGGAGAACCAATGGATTACAGTCTACGACATAAGTCCTTGGCACACCTGGATCAGATAGCACGAAAATGCGTTGAGGAGCTATTTTTGGAACAATACCCCGACAATGTTGCAAACGAGCAATGACGACTTCATCACGATAAACAACATTGAAAGGGGAAGGAGACGAACTGATAAATTTCCCTGACAGATATTACAAAAGTGGACAAGCGTGCCAAGACTTTTGTCGGGGATTGTAGCTAGGGATGAAATAGGCTAATAAATTTCCTTTACGTTTGAGGATTTTATTGATAATTGGCATCCAAGTCAGCAGTCAGTAAGACAACGCTTGTCAACTATGAATTTTAATTCCCGAAGACTCTTTCCCCTTCTTGTTGTTTTTCCTATCGTCCGGTTTCCTTCGTTTGATTTCCTTGGTCGCTTTGATGGGTTCTATAATTGTACCAATCAGAGTCTCGACACGTGGTTTTGTCAACTGATTGACAGTTGTGCCTGTGTTCCAGTGTTTTCCCACAGGATTGCGCATGCTCCGTTCAAACTGCACGTGGCTGCCGTATGGGTGTGGGACTGAAGAAACCTGCGTAAAAACAACAAGATTTAACCAATAAATATATAAAAATCCAATTTTTTGCTCCAACAGTAAGAAATGACAATTGACATCCCTGCCTCCCATAGGTCATGAAATTTGCGGATTTCAACGGAACCCACCAAATAACTGAGAAAAAGAGACGTCAAAAAGTTGTCGAAGTCGGTGATCTTCACTGTAAATTTTGATACAAACAATCTCAGCCAGTCAGGGTTACTTTTTTCTGGCAACAAAAATCATTCTAGAGGTTTCTCAATCCATTTCAGACCATGTGATAATACTCTTGAGAATTCTTGCTTCCAAATTTTCCAATTGTCGTGTCGCGTTTATATGAATGAATAATTTTTAGATTTGACAAAAGAACAATTCCCCAGAGGAAATCGCGTGGTCTGAAATGGGCAAACCACCCAAGCTAAAAAATTATACTAGTATTTCGCTTACATTTTAACCAGTGTAGATATACAATTTACTCAGTCCTGGCTGACAGCAATGGACCATATTCGTATTCTCGGTATAGGACTGGAACTAGCTTGCAACTGAGGCTCATGCGGGGGAATCTTATTAAAAAGACATAAATGTCATTTCCATTAGCCTCACTTGCAAGCTAGTTCCAGTCCAATACCGGGAATACGAATGTGGCCTATTGCTTTATACATTGATTGGCAATGCAATCAAAGGTGGGAGAAGTGTGACCAGCGGGAGCCCTACCATGTATGATCACCCAGTATCAGTCATGTCTGAGAAAACGACACCAATGATCACTGTGTTTCAAAACGTCTTCACGAAAAACAGGCCCACAATGCACATGTGTCTGGGATTTTTTCTTTGTTCATGAAAGGTTTTAGATTTCACAATCTGACACCATCCCTTACCTGATTCTTACTAAACAGCTTGCTCTTCTCTTCGTTGATAATCACATGTGACAAATTCTTGTCTTTCCGTGGTGGGGCGGGGTCTGCTTTCTTCGTGAAAACTTTTTTCTTTTTCTCCGATGGCTTAATTCCTACTCCTGCCCAGGTCCCCCAGCCTGGAAGACTCAGATCTACATCCTTTGGTTTGGCTGCATCCTCGATGTCACTCTTCTCCTTCACGAATTCTTCCATTACATCATCATTAGCAAATGCTTGCTGAATATCGATTCGTTTCTGTTGAAGTGATTCACTCTCATCACCCTCAACTTCATGTCCATGATCTTCAATCCTGAAGACTTTCTTTGGATCCACACGAATATCTTTTGAAAGAGCTGTACCATTTTGTTCTGTGTGACTAATTTTCTTTTCACTTTTTTGACTAATGTCCACAGTAGAATTAGTCCATGCACCACTTCCAGATTCATCCAGAATCGTGTTCTCAGTTACGTTTTGAGTTTCAAACTTGTCTTTTGATTTAGAAGTAAGCCTTTTCATGCCCACTTTTTTGCCTTCTTTAGCAGTCTTTCTAGAGTCTTTATTAGTTTTTTCAGTCTTTTTACTTTTCTTTGCAGTCACTTCTAATTCATCCCCTTCCGACTTGTGCTTTTTCTTCTTCCTTTTTCCTTCAATTTCATTCGTTTTCTTTGACTTCTTTGTCACTTTCTCTTTGAGACTGACAGGTTGTAATCCAAATTCTTCCTCACTATCTTCTTCCACATTTTCACCATGTTCTGAATCTTCATCCTTGTTTCCTGCATCCTCTGTTCTGATTGCCTCAAGCCGATGGAGCTTAGTTGAAGAATCTAATAAGACATAAACACCACTTAAACTTACTCCATAATCATGACGACAGGTTATGTAGATGAGGAAAAAGGCCAGTCCTGGTAAAATTACAATCCAAGACTATTATTTCATACATTTTAAAATGGTCTGAATTTCAGCCATTATCTCTGGTCCTTTACTGCCAGGAAAAATTATGTGAGAACCGCACATACAGTATTCGCACTCCAAAGGTAAAGTCTGCATTCCAGTCAAGTGGCCCATCAGGCCTGAGCTTATCCCAGTTTCTGTAGCGTGAAGTGACTAGGAGTATTTCTAATCCCCTCCACTGGATGGGATGCCATCATTTGTCAGTAGCCATTTACACAGCTGGATTGAGAAAGGGACTGTGAGAGTTAAGTGTCTTGCCCAATAACACAATGCAATATCCACGGCCAGGGATCAAACCTGGACCACTTGATCCAGAGATGAGCGCACTAACACTCTCCCACAAGCACAGTCTCCAAGCTGACAACAAATTTAAGTGCACAGAGAATCAATCAGATTTATTTAATGAATGATTGTTATTCGATTGTAGTACTCCTTCAGTAGGAATTTGAGTCATAAAATTCAGGGACAGTCATGATTAAAATTTGGAATGATAATGGCTCTCACCCTGTATTTCTGTTTACATACCACTTAACTCAGACCACAATTTAACAACGTAAGCACCTAACTGTACAAATTACCATTGTCCAGGCTTGACGAGGTCTCTTGATGAAGGATCCCAACAGTGTCTAACTTCCACGGATTATCCTCGGACGTTAAGAGACTTCCATAGGTGTCTGACTTGTCTTCATCATCTTCCAAACCTCCATCTTGTGCAGGTGCCTCCATCTCTTCATCACTTTCTGACTCTGCAGTTTTCTCCGTCAAGGTTCTGCTAATACGCAGTTGTTCCTGCAGTAGTTTCTTGGCCTGAAGATGTGGAACAAACTATTTCTTTACACAAGTTCTATCAAGGGTCAGCATTTTCTCAACTTGCCCCAACATTTTGCCAGAACCCATTTATACTCCTGGATGGGGAGAGACACTGTGAGACCCATGCCCACCCATGCCCTGTTCATAAGGTGCTAGGGGTATGCATTTGCTAGTGGGTACAGGAGCAACGCTTTAAACAAGGACCAGAAAGCCAACCGAAAAAGTGACTGTAAAGAACAAAGTGCATCTACCAGCATCTAGGTAAGAGCAGATGAAAACATCAGGTTTTTGAGAGGAATTATTCGTAAAATACAACTAAACAACTTACATCTGCATTCTTGCCTCCTTTGACAATCAGGTGTTTTGCCCACTTGGAAGTGTTGCGATGCTTCAGTGACACACGTTCCTAAACAGTACAAAACAAGTGGTTACACAACATACAAAATGAATGTTTTCCACTATTAAGCCTTGTCAATTGGTAGATCTTGGTTGAAAAACATGTAACAAAAGATCAGCTGATATTAAAATTTAGGAGACTACTTAGAGGAATAATGTTATTTAAAGAATACAATGGGAGATTTGTGACACTCATTACAACTCTCCTTGAGAGGTTTCACTGTTCCATTGCCAGTTGAGAAAAGTTTACATCTGATCAATGATGGAATTAAAGGTAACTTCTCACCATGGCTCGCAGTCTGTCAGCTTTTTCTAAAGTCTCCTCAGCATTTTCATTTGTATCTTCTCCTGCCATCTTTCCTGCAGCACGCTTCTCGGCTTTTCTTTTCACCCGGTGATACCTGGTACAAACACCACAAACTTGTGTAACCATTTTGTCCTCAGTGCAAGAACTAAAGTTTATATCTCTCAATATCGGTTTTAAGATTTTTATGGTTCATCATAAAAACATCTTATCTTGCAGGAGCTGACACAGTTAGAAGGTTTAGCCCAATTAAACTACAATAATTATCAGTTGAGTAAGGTGCAAAGAAAGTTAGGTGACCAGGTTTTAACATTCAACTTGTGTTGTTGTCACAAGCAACTGGCTCCATTTCCAGTGGCAACTTTTCGGTCTTTGATGTCATTGACAGTAAAGCAAGTGAAATTGCAGGCAATGATATTGTCACCATTGGAAACAAGGAAAGTTGCCCATGGCAACACTGTAATTTTAAGTCCAAAACTCCATCACCAAAGCTCCATCGCTCCTTACTCAACTGATAATCGTAGTACATCTGGGTGGAGATTGAGGCACTGTTAGAGTAAATTGCCTAAGATCACAACACTAAGATCCTGGCCAAGGCTAAAACCTGGACTGCTCAACCTCCTTGCATCATCATAATCATCATCATCAAGATACAACACAAATATTTCTAGTTAATGCAGTCCCATTATCAAATCATTAATTCTCCTTACTTACTGACAAACATTTCCTTTAATTTTTATTGGCAGTGCATCAAAATGTTGTAAATTTTCCTTATTCCAAGCTTGAAAAGTGGGTGCTCAAAATTGGCTAGCTGGGATCAACTCATGCTAACTATTTATAGAGTAACACACACAAAAATTCCTTTTAAAGTAGATGTCCACAGGAGGCCTGTGTGGCTATCTAGCTACATGTAAGAGCTTGTTGACAATAAGTCAGAATGTTAAATGCTGATCTGTAAATTTATGTTATGTTGAGATGAGTCCTACATCTTCCATTGCACACCTGGAAGTTTACTTGGAAACATACTTTTTGCTTTTGATTTTCTTCATCCTGCGACATTTTGTTTCGTAATATGACTGGAGTGCTCGCAGCTTCTGAAGTTCATGTCTCCTCTCCTTTGCCTGAAAAAGAGATGAGATGTAACTTGGTAAGAAATGAACCACAAGCAGGCTTCAAGCCAGATGGGTGTCCAGGCATCCTGTGGACGGCCACTTTCTATAGGAAGTTATTTTATTTTTCATGTGCTGCCTTATAAATTACTCATTTGAGCAGGACCTATAGCACATTATGGACGGCCACTTTTCAAATTCTGGCTAAAAGCCTGACCACTAGTCATACTGCTTTACGTGAGGATGTGCAGGTATTCAAACTTTCGGTCCTGAGAGCGCTGAGGTTAAGAGCAAACCACATCAAATTTCAATTCTAATTGAATGGGTGAAAGAAGAATTACCTAACTAGGAAGGGTTTTGACAGTAAGTTTGGATTTGACCAATTTCATTCTCNAGTAGTACAATATCATAAAACAACGGGAGTTTGAGACCACGAGAAAATTTTTTTCTACTGTCAAGTGTGTATGACAGTAAAATACGTGATTTGGCTTCTTTAACGTAAATTATGATACAGAATAACGCGCGCGTAACAAGAAAATACAGTTCCCGATAAAACATAGCTCCTAGCATTGCAGAGCGCACACAGAACCTAACCTGTGCACTTGAAAAATGGAATAGGCACGCTATGACTTAATTAGTGGCTTTATAGAGCTCTAAACAAATCACATTCAGAAGCTCTCTTGCGTGCTTCTACTACGATTTGCCAAAGCTTGACACATGCAAGTGTGACATTTGCTAAGAATGTTTTAAACCGTGAATTGGAAATGGTAAGTCCAGTGAGAAAAACGTTTTTAAAGACACCATGTATCCCCCTTTCCTAGCTTTTGATTATTCTGTGCGTTGTCCCTAATTTTCTTTACCCGTTAACTTATCTCTGAACTGCGTCCTTGTCACAGCAATCATTCGCACTGACAAACGGTAGCTCCTTAAATTTGAATCAAATTCCCATTCCAAAACGGCAGGTCATTTAAATTATCACTTCGCTAAATTTTTACACTTCTCGGTGAGACACAGCACAAACGTTTTGATCCTTAGATTCTAATCCTCTGGTACCTGTCTGTGTATTATTGTCCTCAGCTTGTTTCTCCTGAGCGGCTTTCCGTTTTGCCAACGCCCTTTCTCGGTTCAGACGAATGCGTTCTTGTTGTTCAGGCGTCAAAATAACCTGGGAGGAAAAGAGCAAGGAATGGATAAGTCTGGATTAATTTTAAAAGCTTACAAAGTAATTAAACTTGTGAAGAAAAGAAAGACGATGAATTCAGCGCTTACCATTCGATCTCTCGTCTCTATTTGCACACCAAATGTTTGAATCTGAGACGAAGCAAAAAGAATCATTCAACAGTCAAATTTAACATTAATGTACAACCTGGATACTCCGAGTTTATTCCTCTTCATCAAAGCTCTGATTTGCTTTTTTGTTGCTCTCTGCTTTTTTTACTATCTTTTACGACCAGTCACGTGGGGGGGGGGGGGGAGTGTGGGGAGGGAAGGGTGGGTCCATACACGCTCCATTAAGTCAGTACATCGATGTGATCTCATTTGACTTACAACACACAAGAAATATACTCACATTGTTCATGACAGGAGTAGCAGGTACTTGTGATAGTGATCCATCATCTTGAGATTCTATGAGTGCGAAAAATAGAATTTGTTTCTTAATTAACACCAACGCAGAGGGTCCAATATTATTTTTAAATAAGACCAAGAAGGGATTATTGTAATATTCACTCCAATTGGTGCAAGTATCTCAAGAAGGTCATTTATTCATTATTTTTGGATTATTGCCTGTAGATAACAACCTCTTACTAACCGAGCACATGAGCCATTAGCCTATCGTGACTGCCCAGACAGTACAGTGAAGACAGTACAAAAAAGACCAAGGGCTGATATTCCTCCATGCTTTCAACTTAAAATAATGACTTGATCTTAAGTCAAGAAAGATTGATTTTTTCCTTTTTAGTGATTCAAATGTTTTTAGCCTTGTAACTGAAATTATCTGTAAATCCTTGTACTACATGCAGACTTAACATGCCATCTACTGAAGAAGGGCTAAGCCTGAAACATTTAGCAAACCAGCTACTATTTGACAATTTAAGGAGCCTTCATACCAATGTTTTGTGGAAGTTCTGAATCAGATTTGACCTCATCCTCAACAGTGTCATCTTCACCTCGTCTGATTCTCTTAAGACAGTTCTAAAATGGAATTAATGTTATTTAGTAATATCTGTTAATAGCATTATTAACAGATCAAAGAATTGCCATCCTGGTTTGAATCAGACCAAGAAAACGAACTACAACCATGGACAAATTGTGTTGGAAAATGCCAAAACATAAATTCATAACTGTAATACCTAGAGAATAAGTGCCAGCACCCCCATTCCCCCTTCCAATGTTGGAAAGTGGTAACATGAAAACTTGTGTTAGATGAAAATGTTTAGTCAACATTGCACAGGGGTGGGGAAGGGCAAAATGCATATAAAATGAATTTTTCCAACCCTTGTGACCAAGGTTGTAGCTACCCACCATAACTAGTTTTTTTCAACTGGTTCACTTGCACCATAAATTTAAACTTTGTTCATTCATACATGTAGTCTTCACATAGATATTACAGGGCTTCAAGTGTCCCTATATTTCCTATATTTGTTAACTTTCCCTATACTTTCCTATTTAATTCAAAAACTCCCTATAATCCCTATAACTCTAGAATACGAAGGAAAAAAATATTACCTGACTAATTAACTTTTATTTTAGTGGATGTAATGACAGGCAGTGAATTTCTAGATTCTCGAAGACACTGTTCTTAAGGCATACCAAAGGTCATGATGTTGCAAAGAAAACTGTGGACACGCTGGAAGATACGGACTTCTAGTTACCTCCCTCAGGCTTGATATTGGGAGTCTGCCATCAGATGGACCAAATGTTAACAAAACAATTTGGACTGCCATCAACAAAGTACTCTTAGATGAAGGACTCCCTGGATTTCTGCCATTCATCCATGAACTGTATAAATGTATTTGTTGAAAGTTGAAAGACAAGTTCTTCCCAGATCATTTGGCTTTTCTACTGTTTATGGAGTCTTCCAGGGTGAAGGGCCACTTATTCATCTACTGCTCTATAGAATGTATGAGCCGCTGAAATTACAAATGGGTCGCTTCTTGAAGAGCCAAGTTCTTAAAGACATTGAGGGGAAGCACCTGCAGAAGTCAGACAACCTACCGTCAAATTCACAGATAGAAAGGGTGAAAATACTCGTTCTGCCCTGTCTAAGCTGACCACTGACCAACCAAAGCCTTCGGTTCGGGTTGCTCTCACAGGTATGAAACAGTTCTATGTGGAGACTACAAAGTATCTGATTGACGATTTACCAAATTATAGACAAGAAACTTGTAAGAGATGTTTTTTTCCTGCATCCATTTCTCAGAGATAGTGAGCATGGGGCGCAAGTTATTTGAAGACTAGCCATAATGATGCCAATGTCAGAAGAAGAAGTGGAACTAATTACACATGGATTGTGTACTAGACCAGAGCTGTTGACAGAGATTGTACAGAACAAAGAGTAGATCATAATTACTGGTGGGCAAATGCCTTTCNGTTTTCTTGAATCGATCGTACACGTGTCGTTCGGAAATTACTTCACTCTTCCACCTTCTCCAGTGTATCGAGCTAAATGGTATGTTTGGTTACTTCACGATCCCACTTCTGACACCATGTAATGTTATGGCAAAGATCAGAAAGATAACTTTTTATCCCAGCTAACGAGTACAAGCACACGTGTATATTCTGTCTCTTCCTACTGCGCATGCTCAAAACCTGATATGTTTACAAGATCAAGGATTGTTAAACACAGTTCTGATATGCTTTAAGGACCTCATTGTGTAGGATCATTTGGAGGTCTTTGAATATCAAAAAGATTTTGTAAGGGTTTTCTACAGGATTATTCACTATGTCTGACAATTTGACACTTAGTTACCTCATGGCCTTTTCCTTTAAACTTGATGTCATCACAAAGGTGGCGTAGAGCTGGAATACCTCGATCACCACACAACCTAAAGTTTAAATTTTTCTAGTTATTAACCAACCTCAGATGTGACAAATTCAGTAGGAATAAGCAAAAAGCTCATACGATGCGTGACACTGCCGAAAAGTTGCATATAAGGCTCAAAATGCTCTGAAGTGTCAAATTTGTTCTGATAAACTAAACGTTTTGGGCTTAGCCCTTCTTCAATAGGTGGATTTAGCCATGCCATACAAAAAACTGTACGCGTACACACGCGCAGAAAGCACGCACATGAAATACAAAGTAAACAAATAGGAAAACCATTGTTTTAGCGTGCATAAGTGTAATACGCGCTAGACCCACAGTGACAAGAAATTTAAGTTAATGCTCCGTGGGTCTAGTGCGTATTACACTAACGCGCACTAAAACAAAGGTTTTCCTATTTATTTACTTTGTACTTCACGCGCGCGTTTTCCATGCATGCGTACGCTACAGTTTTTTGTGTAGCATGGTTAAATCCACCGACTGAAGAAGGGTTAAGCCCGAAACGTTTAGTTTATCAGAACAAATTTGACACTTTTCAGAAAATTTTGAGCCTTTCATACAACTCAGATGTGACAACCTACTAAAATAGTAAAGCAAACAGATCTTTTAGAACCAATACCTTCCCAGGCAAACCCTGGATATGTCT